TCCGAAAGCGGAGGATGTTGAGCATGCAAACAGGCAAGCCGCTCGAGACATCCCCGCCATTTGGGCGCGAACGTAAACCGTGCAATACCCCTGGCGGCCCCCCCTTAGGAGGCGCCTCGCACGAGACATCCTCCAAATCTGCTTCGAAAACGGAAGATCTTGAGCATGCAAACAGGCAAACCGCTCGAGACATCCCCACCATTTTGGCGCGAACGGAGGCCGTGCAACACCCCTGGCCGCCCCCCATCAAAAGTGCTAAAACCAGCAAAACGCTCGAGACATCCTCATCCTCATCATCATCATCATCATCATCATCATCATCATCATCATCATCATCATCATCATCATCATCATCATCATCATCATCATCATCATCTTCATCATCATCATCATCATCACCATCATCATCATCATCATCATCAATCAGCATCATCATTCATCATCATATCACATCAATCATCATCATCATGATCATCATCATCGCCATCATCATCATCATCATCATCATCATCATCATCATCATCATCATCATCATCATCATCATCATCATCATCATCATCATCATCATCATCATCATAATGATCAACATCATCATCATCCATCATCACCACCACCATCATCATCATCAGCATCATCATCGTCATCGTCATCGTCATCGTCATCATCATCATCATCATCATCATCATCATCATACTCATCCATCATCACCATCACCATCCATCTCACATCATACTCTCTTTTAGCGCAGAGAGGGAGGAAGGGAGGTGTAGAGGTCCGGCGCGGTCAGAGAATAATTCACTGCGTGGAACTCCCCATATGTGCATCTATTTGCATGGACTGGGTGTGACTGAGTCCGAGTATGAGTATGATGAGTACGAGTCTGAGCACAAGTGAGTCTGGGACATCCTCGCAGTCTGCCCCCCTGGGGTGCGAAAGCCAGTGAGTCTGAGCGTGAGTATAGTGAGTACGAGTCTAAGTCTGAATGGGTCTGAGTACGACTGAGTTTGACTACGAGTGAATCTGAGGGTGGGTGGGTCTGAGTGTGAGTGATTCTGAGCGTGAGTACATCTGGAATGTGAGTGCGTCTGGGTATGAGTATGATGGGTATGAAACTGGCCCTAAGTGGGTCTGAGTACGAGTGAGTCTGACTACGAATGAGTCTGAGGGTGGGTGGGTCTAAGTGTGAGTGAGTCTGAGTGTGCGCAAGTCTGGGTATTAGTGAGTCTGAGTATGAGTATGATGAGTACGAGTCTGAATATGAGTGAGCCTGAGCACGAGTGAGTTTGAGCATAAGTGACTCTAGGACATCCTCGCAATCTGGGCCCTCTGGGAGTGCGGAAATCAGCGCCTCGCCATAGACATTCTCAGAATATGTCTCGACAGCAGACGAGTCTGACCACCAAAACACGCAAACCGCTTAAGCCATCCTCGAAATTTGGCCCCCCTGGGGTTCGAAAACCAGCGCCTGGCTCGAAACATCCTCAGCGGAGGATGTTGAGGACCAAAACAGGCAAACCGCCTGAGACATCCCCACCATTTGGGCGCGAACGGGCCGTGCATACCCCTGGCGGCCCCCCTTAGGAGTGCTAAAACTCGAGGCATCCACACAACTCGAGCTCATCATCATCATCATCATCATCATCATCATCATCATCATCATCATCATCATCATCATCATCATCATCATCATCATCCTCATCATCATCATCATCATCATCATCATCATCATCATCATCATCATCATCATCATCATCATCATCATCATCATCATCATCATCATCATCATCATCATCATCATCATCATCATCAGCATGATCATCATCATCATCATCATCATCATCATCATCATCATCCTCATCATCCTCATCCTCATCCTCATCCTCATCCTCATCATCATCATCATCATCAGCAGCAGCATCATCACATCCTCATCATCATACTCATTCATCATTCACCATCACCATCATACTCACATCATACTCTCACCATACCATGGTCATCATCATGACAATCATCATCATTGTTTAGTGCAGAGAGGGAGGAGGGGAGGGGTTCTCTTGGTCCGGCGCGGTCGGAGAATAACAAGAACTCCATCCTTTGGATATGGGGAATGAGAGCCCCATCCCTAGGACATGGGGAAAAAACTCCTGATGGGCACGACCCCGCTGTGGCGCGCTCGGGACTGCTGGCCGGCCCGCCTGGCCATGGTGAACACCGGACCTAAAGGATGGTCTGGTGCCGGCGCCACGGATGGGGATCGGGATCGAGGAGGGCGGACGGGAAGAGCAGGGACAGCGGACGGAGGGGGAGGGGACTGGGAGTGCGGTGGGGAAGACAGAGGGAGGCGAGTCGGATGGGCGGAGCGGGAGGAGAGGAGAGGTTGAGAGGGACAGGAGCGGACGAGAGGGAGGAGGGGCAGAACGCCGCAGGTATCGTAAAACCGTGAAAGCATGTTTACGTTTGGCTCGAGCCTGAGGCAAGGCGAAACTCAAGCCGAAAACGGATTGGCGTTTTCTTTCTTCCAAGTGTTGAAGGCCATCTGCGCACTGTGGTGTTCCGACAAGCGCTCGCACGCCTGATGGATAAAGGAGATGAAGCGCGCCTGATGGCGTTTGTGCCTGGCTCTCATGTGCTTAGCAAGACTGTTGCACCGTGGCTCGAACAACTCTAATGGTTCGTAATGTCAGAAAACCGAGAAACAGTCACGGCACCTTTCAACGCACACGCTTGGGGTTCAAGCCTGTGTGTCAAGGGGAAAGTACAGTGACACCGTACAGTCTCAGGTGTATCCGTGGGACATCATGCCCAATCCTCTCCTCCTCGTCCTCATCCTCCTTCCTCCTTCCTCCTTCCTCCTTCCTCCTTCCTCCTTCCTCCTCCTCCCTCCTCCTTCCTCCTTCCTCCTTCCTCCTCCTCTTCTTCCTCCCTCCTCCTCTTCCTCCTCCAGCTCCTCCTCCTCCTCCTCCTCCTCCTCCTCCTCCTCCTCCAACTCCTCCTCCTCCTCCTCCTCCCCAGACCTCTGACGTCGTGGTTTTGTCACAACGTGGACCTCCAGAAGTCTCGACCCTTTGCTCGGGACCTGCTTCTCGTCCTGAATCGTCTGTTGAGCGAGGGCCCCCCAGAGAGGCCAGAAACTGAGAGAAATACCTCCCGTCGTGATCTTTGCACGACGAGGAGAAGTGGGGATCCTCCTTCCCGGGAAAAGCATTACCCTGCGACGTACCCAACCCTTTTCTGTACATGTGGTGGTTACACTCGGGACCACTCAATGCTGACGGGCATGCTGAAAAAACCGCAGTGCGGAAGAAGAGCACCCATCAGTGAACTCAGAAGAGCGCAGCAAGAAGAGCAGCGGCAACGCGTAAGACGTACCTCTGCTGGGCCTCCCAGGAGCCCACGAAAGTGGCGACGGCTGCGCAGATCGCAGCCCCCCAGGGCGCCGCGAGGTCTCGAGGTGGTCCGCGTGGGACGTACTTCCGCTGGGCCTCCCAGGAGCCCATGAAAGTGGCGACGGTTGCGCAGATCGCAGCCCCCCCAGGGCGCCGCGAGGTCTCGAGGTGGTCCGCGTTGGACGTACCTCCGCTGGGCCTCCCAGGAGCCCACGAAAGTGGCGTCAGTTTCGCAGATCGCAGCCCCCCAGGGCACCGTGAGGTCTCGAGGTGGTCCGCGTTGGACATACCTCCGCTGGGCCTCCCAGGAGCCCACGAAAGTGGCGACAGTTTCGCAGATCGCAGCCCCCCAGGGCGCCGCGAGGTCTCGAGGTGGTCCGCGTGGGACGTACCTCCGCTGGGCCTCCCAGGAGCCCACGAAAGCGGCGACAATCGCGCAAATCGCAGCCCCCCAGGGCACCGCGAGGTCTCGAGATGGTCCGCGTGGGACGTACCTCCGCTGGGCCTCCCAGGAGCCCACGAAAGTGGCGACAGTTTCGCAGATCGCAGCCCCCCAGGGCGCCGCGAGGTCTCGAGGTGGTCCGCGTTGGACGTACCTCCGCTGGGCCTCCCAGGAGCCACGAAAGTGGCGACAGTTTCGCAGATCGCAGCCCCCAGGGCGCCGCGAGGTCTCGAGGTGGTCCGCGTGGACGTACCTCCGCTTGGCCTCCCAGGAGCCCACGAAAGTGGCGACAGTTTCGAAGATCGCAGCCCCCCAGGGCGCCGCGAGGTCTCGAGGTGGTCCGCGTTGGACGCACCTCCGCTGGGCCTCCCAGGAGCCCACGAAACTGGAGACAATTGCGCAGATCGCAGCCCCCCAGGGCGCCGCGAGGTCTCGAGGTGGTCCGCGTTGGACGTACCTCGCTGGGTCTTCCAGGAGCCCACGAAATGGGCGACACTTTCGCAGATCGCAGCCCCCCAGGCGCCGCGAGGTCTCGAGGTGGTCCGCGTTGGACGTACCTCCGCTGGGCCTCCCAGGAGCCCACGAAAGTGGCGACAGTTTCGCAGATCGCAGCCCGACGGCACGAGAGAAGAGGAGAGGGGAACACAGGAGACAGGAGAGGAGGAGGGGAGGAGGGGGGGGAGGAGAAGGACGGGGCGACCACACTGCTCTATTCAAAACGAGTACCCAACCATAGGAGGGTTGGGAAAAAACACCAGGAGGGCCCCAGGAGAGCTTCGGGCAGCGCTCGCATCAGGAGACACGAGGGCGCCGCAGAGGGCCTCAGGAGGGGAGGCCCCCTCGAGGGGCGGGGGGGGGTACGGAGCCGGAGGGGATCTATTTCTGCCCCTTGCTTCATGCACCCCCCCTCCTCCTCCTCCTCCTCCTCCTCCTCCTCCTCCTCCTCCTCCTCCTCCTCCTCTCTCCTCCTCCTCCTCCTCCTCCTCCTCCTCCTCCTCCTCCTCCTCTCCTCTCCTCCTCCTCCTCTCCTCCTCCTCATCCTCCTCCTCCTCCTCCCTCCTCCTCCTCCTCCTCCTCCTCCTCCTCCTCCTCCTCCTCCTGCCCAGGAAGGGAGCGGAGGGCCTCCCCACGCACGCCGCCCCCTCCCCGCCCCGTGCCGAGGCCGTCGCCGACGGTGTCGGCGGAGGCGCTGCCCGTGACGCCCACGTTGAGCCCGCCAAAGGAGTAGGCGGCCGCGGCGTTCTCGGGCCCCTGCAGGGCGCGAGGACCAATCTTTGCTCCAAGGCCGCCAAGTCACCATAAAAGCACGCTGTGCTCCTCGTGGGGCACACGGTGGGCGCCATCACCCGCGACTGGCAGGAGAGCCCAGAACGCCCCTCGACAAAAGCCCTCCTGGGGGCACCCATCCTTTCTTCAACCAGTCAGCGGGGATGGCGGCAGGGTGCCCCTCAGGTCACCGCGAAGGCCCCAGAGTCACCGAGGACCCAGGGGCTCTGGCGATCTGACTCTCCCACAGGCGGGTCCCTCCTCGATGTCAGGCCTCGGGGGGGGGCCGCCATCGGGCCCCCGGGGCCATCGGACACTCTTCTTGATAGAGAGCGCCAGCGGACGCGGGCGCGGCTCCTCCTCCTCCTCCTCCTCCTCCTCCTCCTCCTCCTCTCCTCCTCCTCCTCCTCCTCCTCCTCCTCCTCCTCCTCCTCCTCCTCGGGGTCGGGGTCGAGACCGGCGGGGCGCGCCGGACACGTGGGGCGCGCGGAGCGAGCGGCAGAGCAGAGGACGGCCGCGGAGGAGCGGGGAGGAGCAGGCCCGGCCGCCGCGAGCCGACGGGCGAGGGGCGCGGGGGCGGCCTCGGGCACCGAGGGCGGCGTGGAGACCATCAGGAACAGATCTGGGTCGGGCCTGTCCCCCTACAGGCCGATCTTCGAGGAAAAATTAGACGTAGTCCAAAGATGCTCCCAAAGAGCCCCCAAACAAAAAAGATTGAGAGGAGAGTCAGACTGTGTTTCGACTATCTGTGAGCATTCCTCCTGTAGAGGGACACAGGCCCGACTTAAGACTACCCCCAGCGAAGCGGTCGGAGCTTCTGATGCCGCGGATGAGATTAAGCAGACCGGCGGATCGACAGAACACATCGGCCATGCTCGGGCACCTGCGGGGCCCGAAGACGGCTGGGTGGGTTGGGGTTGGGCTTGGGCCACGACGGCCCCCCACCTCCACTCTTTGCGACAAGATCACGACGGGGTGGTCCAGAAACCACACGACACCACCCCACCTACCGCCCCAGCGTAAACCAAGAAACCTGGCGTGGGCTTCTGCGTGGTCTACGCCACGGCGCCCGACGGGCCGTAGCGCAACATGGAGGGCCGCAGGCGGGGTGGTGGCGCTTTTAGAGGTAATTAAAAGAGTAGGATTCTTAGCAGACTTTTCTTGTAACTTTATGTCAGTTAGTTATTTTATGATCTGAACTTTGGGAATTGATGAGAGTATCGCTGCTTGGATTAATATCACCAGCCCTCTGGGCTTAGGTGGTATGACGAGTTTCGTTATTCTCTCTTCCTCCCATACCATCGTGTCGGCTCTTGCGAATCGACGCTAGTCGACGCTAAATCGACGCTAATCGACGCTAATCGGCGCTAGATCGACGCTAATCGAAGCTAGCCGACGCTAGATCGGCGCTACCTCATCGACTCCCAAACGCCAATCGACGCTGACCGACGCTGAAGACGGAATCAAGAGGGTACACAAGACTCCCATGCTTTGCTGCCGCACATTCCCCCACCCCCCCTGGCACGAGGGGAAACGACAGGGGGGGGGGGAGACATCGACCCGAAATCGGCGATGCCTCGCCGATGGGTCGGCGAGAGGCCCCCCCGATGTGGGAGCCGCATGATGCTCCCAGGCCGGGCGGGCTACCGGGCCCCCCTCGGCGATGAATGAGCAACTGGAAGACGATGCGTCCCCCCCTGAGCCTACTCCCCAGCGTTTTGCGGGTCACAACCTGGGCCTCCCAGCGGCCGTTCGGGACGATCCAGGCACCCCGGCGAGGCTCAGCTGCTAGACAGCGCCCCGAAAACCGCTGTCGAAAGCCAAGCCCATCGCCCCCCCCTGGCGTTGCCCCTGACCGCGCTGCCGCCGCTCCGCCGCTCCAGCCGGGGACCCTGGGCGCCGCCCCCGCCGGATGTCGCCGCCGCCTTCCGCCCGGAACGCCCGCGCCGGCGCCGCCGCCGCGCCACCTGTGGGTCCTGTGCCGCATGCCGTACCTGCCCCCGCCACCTCCCGCCCCCTTCGGCGGCGTCCACAAGGGGTGCCTTCCTCCTCCAACTCCTCCTCCCCCTCCTCCTCCTCCTCCTCCTCCTCCTCCTCCCCTCCTCCTCCTCCTCCTCCTCCTCCTTCCTCCTCCCTCCTCCTGTTTCCTGATTCCTGCTTCCTGAGGGCATGAGGGGGCTTCGCACGCTGCCTCCTCCTCCTCCTCCTCCTCCTCCTCCTCCTCCTCCTCCTCCTCCTCCTCCTCCTCCTCCTCCTCCTCCGACGACGACGACGACGACGACGACGACGACGACGACGACGACGACGACGACGACGACTCGCAAACCATGGCCCGAGGCACGTGCGCGGCCCAGGGGCGGGCCAGGGGACGCACTGAAACGAGGAGAGGCGCCATGAGATCGGACGGCCTGCCAGACCACCCCCACCCCCACCCGAAGTCCCAATTTTCGGGGTGGGCGGAGCACGGGTTCCAGATGTGTTCTTTTCGATGCTCCAGAATACCCCCCTACTGGAAGTGGAGGATGAGTTGGTGCCTTCGGGTTGGGTTGGGGTGGTTTGGTGGGTCGTGGAAATCGGAGGAGACATCACGCCCCCCCCCCTCTACAACCCTCTTCGGAATCAAACGCAAGTTGTCTCTAACCCTCCTCGACCGCCGCCCCCCTCGATATCAATGCTCAGCGACGCGAGAAATGCGGCCTGCGCTGTACGAAGAGAGATGGAGGCCGCCGGTTCCGACACGAACATTGACACTGGGGGCCCCAAGGGCGCCGCTACGCCGCGGAACAAAAGACTCGCGCTTGATTTCGAAGAGGGTTGTAGTCAAGAAACGGCGCCGCCCCTGGCGCGCTGCGCGCGCCTGGGAGGGGGGCCCAGCGCGGAGCCAAGAAGTCCGCGCGGAGCGCCGAAAGCTTATGATTACGTTCTTTTTGGTTCTTCCAGTCACCACCACCCTCGTGGCAGCCCCCAAGGGAGGCGGGGGAAGACAGGGTGAGAGGCGGGAGGAGAAGGAGGAGGAGGAGGAGGAGGAGGAGGAGGAGTTGGAGGAGGAGTTGGAGGAGGAGGAGTTGGAGGAGGAGGAGGAGGAGGAGGAGGCCTCCTCCTCCTCCCCCTCTTGGCAGCCCCCGACGCCCGCCCCCTCCCGCCCGGCCCCGGGCCTCGCGGCGGCCGCCGCCCTGCGGGGAGTACTCCGGGGTGTGCCGGGCGTGCCGCCGCCTCGGCCGGCGCCGGGCTCCGAGCGAGGGGCGGCGCCGGGCTCCGAGCGAAGGGCGGGGGCGCGCTGCTCCCCGAGGCGGTGGCAGGGCCCTGCCCGAGGGACAACCGCCGCGCCGACCGCCGCCGTCGCCGTCGTCGTCGCCGTGGCCGTCGACGCCTTGGTGGTGTTCGTCGTCGACCGCGTTGTCGTCCTTGTCTTGCTTCTTGTCGTGGTCGTCGCCGCCGTGGCCGTCGTCGTTGGTCTTGTTGTCGTTGCCGTCGTGGTTGTCGCCATAATGGTCGTGGTGGCGGTCCTCGCCGAGGCGGTGGCCGGGCGCTGTTGGCACACAGAGGCCTCCTTGGATGGGGTCCGAGAGCAGGCGGGGTCGGAGGAGCTCGCCGCCTCGCCGCTGCAGCGGCGGTGCCTCGGCGCCGCATCGGCGGTGCATCGGCCAGATGCACTGGCGACGCCGGCGATGCACCCGCGACGTCGGCGTGGGGCCAAGTAGGCCCCACGTCGAGCCGCATCGCCGATGCGTCGGCGATGCGGCGCGATCCTCCGACCCCATCCACTCCGACGGCATCTGGGAGGCCTAGGCAGAAGTGCCCCTGGCCCAAGGTACCCCCAGGATTCTTGGAGTGGCGCAGGCGGCCTCCAGGGCACGCCTCACGAGGCCCAGGGGGCCCCAGGGGCTCCAGGATGGAGGGAAATGCTGGGGGCACCTCGGGCCAGGGGCACTTCGAGCAACACCCGAAGATCCTGGCGTGTCAATTGCTTCGGGCCGGGCGTTTTCGCATCTGTCGGGCCCCCATGACCCTCACAGATCGATCTGGCTGGAAAAGTGAAGCAGAAAAGTGGGTCTAGGGCTGCGGGCGTGATTTTTAACGATGTTGCAATGTTTGTTGTTGCCACGTCGGATCTCGGGGGTGGCAGAGCCACCCCGTGCACCGCGCAGTGCCCTCTCGAACGAGGGGGGGGGCCTTAGAGGCGGGGTTGCGCGCGAGAGCCCTCAGTGGATAAGAGGCCACAGAAGAGCAAAGGTGAGCGTTTCCCTGTTCTGGGTTTCGACACCTGGCTGGTGCTCAGTCGATCTGCCTCTGCCACTCGCGCCAGCAGATCTGGGGGAGGGGGCCCTGACCAGCCGCCAGAAGCAGCCGCCAAAAAAGCAGACAAGACCTGGTCCATGGGGGGGGGGCGGAGGGTCCGGCCAGGAGCCCGCGCCGATCGGCGAAACAGTCAGTAGGAAACGGCGACGATCTGTTCACGCGGACACTTTTGATCTGCAGGGCGAGAGCGAACCTCTTCCGCTGAAAGCTAAGCGGGACGCGTACAGCTTTGATTAGCAGAGAAAGTTCACGCGGACACAAGCGCGCTGAGTTGTCGGTTCGGGCGGCGGCGGCGGGCGAACAGCCAGCCCCGATCTTGAGCCTGCTTGGCACACAAGTGAAGCGCCTGGGGCTGCCGCCCAGGACCCGCTGGGCAGCCACTGGTCCGAAACCCCCGAACCCCTGGATCGACTAAGAGCAGCTTGCACGCTGTCATGGATCGCGGTCTTCTCGGGCAACTATCCCGAACATACTCTCTCGGCGCCGGCGACGAAAGCAACAGGTGTGGCGATGACCCGAGTTACGCCGGGAAGACCAAGAAGCGCGGAGGTAGCACACCCAAAAGCGGTGTCGGAGTGGGGAGGGGAATCAAGACAACCCCGTGGCGCGCAAGCCTGCACCGCTGCTTTTAGCAAGAATGGAATATTGGCACGCATCGCATCCACTCGAGTCAAATGTAGGACGCTTGATTTGTGACTGGGTCAGAACACACTGCACGTGTTGCTACAATGTCAAATTGCCGCTAGCACTTACGATAACCGTAAAACAACACAATGGGGCGGACAAATCAAACCCTGGCCAGCTCATTACCTCAAGGACTGCGTTGGGCCCTCTCGAGGTCCAGAACAATTCATCCTGACACAACATCAGCCACATTTGCCCCTTCTCGACCTACCGCCTGCGGCTTCATCAACGTTTTGCCCTCAACGCTCGCGGATCGAGAGTCAGCCTCTTTGGGCCAATCTGGGATCCAGGAGGCCTTCGAAGACTTCCAGGGACGTGAGCTCACGTCCCTGGAAGTGAGCTCGCGCAGCCCCAGGCCCTGATCCCTCACGTGAGGGATCAGGGCCTGGGGCTGCGCTGAAGTTTGCCAAAATACACACACACACCCTCTCCCCACTGTCCCCTCGCCCGGACCTTCGCCCAGAACAGTAGCAAACAGAAGACGCTCGAGGTCTCAGAGGCCACGGGGAGCAATGCAAACGGCGCGAGATCCGTGCCGAGGATGGGGGGCTTCGCGCACCGCAGAAACAACGCGTCGGCGGTCTGGACCCCTCATGACTCCACCTCGCCACCCCTCAGGATGAGGGCAAGGAAGCCCCAAAAGTTCCAACCTCTTCCCCCAGGGTGGCGTTTCGTCCCGGAACCGTGTTTGATACCCCTCGGGCCTGGCAACGGCCCCCGATGGCTGAAATTCTGAAAAGAAACATGGCCAGAGACCTGGAGAGGGGGGCAGCTGTCTTCCGCGAGCCTTCCCACAGAGACTCCGCGTGCGCGTCCCAGTTCGGACGAGGCGCCCCCTCACAGGGTGCGGCCGTTCGATCTGGAAGGGCTTGTGGTCGCTTCCCCGCACGCCCGACGCGTCGCCCCCGTGCGGCTGGCGATGGTCATGCTCCGACCTGTTGGCTCCACAGAGTCTCCGCAGACGAAGGGGCCCAGGGACACAAATAAATAGACACAAATCCCAGGATCCCCCCTATTTTTCCAGATTCTCGGGGTTCTCGTCTTCCCCTCGACTTCCCATCTTTTCCTGCACTTTCCCCAGAAATCGACGATGAATTGTGTCTGTGTGTTTTTTCCCCTCCTGCGCAGAAGCTCCGATCTGCTGTCTCCGAGCTGTCGGCTCCACCGAGCCTCCGCTCTGCTGTCTCCGTCGCCCCATCTTCTTCTTTTTCCTCTTACGCACGCGGATGGGCCTCGAGGGCCCGCAGCGGCAGGCGGCCTGGGCGCGAGCGGGCCCGGGCAGCAGGCGCAGGGCCTCCTCGACCACCGAGGGCAGAGGTCCGCACAGCCGCCCCTCCGCCGCCTCCCGCCGACGGGCGGGGCGCCCACCACGCTCGGCCCCCCGAGGGCGAGGCGATGGCGCACGGGCACGCCGGCAGGCACGGGGAGGGGGGGGGGGACGCGCGGGCCTGGCCACGGAGGACCACAGGGCAGGGGCGTCGGTGGAGGCAAACAAAGTCGGGTGCTGCCGGAAGGGCTGCTGGCCCGAGGTGCCCACAGGATTTTTCCAGGGAGGCCCCCACGGCCTCCAGAGCACGCCTCACGAGGCCCAGGGGGGCCCCAGGGGCTCCAGAATGGAGCGAAAAGCTGGGTGCACCTTGGGCCAGGGGTACCCGTAGCAACCCCCGAGAAAGGGCGCGGGCCATCCCCTGCGACCAGGACGACGACAGTGAGGTGGCCGAGGAGGAGCAGGCAGAGGAGGTGGAGTGGGGGCTAGATGCTCGTCCTGGGGACCTTCCTGGAGCCACTCGCTCCACTCCTGCGTCGACGCTGCATCGAACGTCCGTCGGCTTCAGCCGAACTTGAGTCGAACTTGAGCCGAGCTAGATTCGAACTAGAGTCAGACTGGCGTCGAGCAGATTCGCTAGGCGTGCCCCAGGAAGGTCCCAAAAACGAAAGTCTCAGCCCCCTGATTTCGAGTGCGGGATCGACTACAGAATTGATTTACCCCAAAATTGACTTTTCCTGCCGAATCCACATTTTTTTCGTGAGTCCGACACAAAAATAATCTCGGGGCAAATCAACTATATAGTCCATCCCCCTCTCGATGATTGGGAGCTGGGGAGGACCCGGCAGCGCGAGCGACCTGAGTGGCAATAATAAGGGGGAACTGGCAAAGGGGGGAAACATCGACCTGGAATCGGCGATACAGTGCGGGGGCGGCCGCAAGAAACCCTCGCAAGAAACCCAACCCTGAAAACCCACGCGCGAGGGGCAACTGAGGGGACACCCAGAGCACCCTGAACGCAGCAACTTCGTCAGCGGCTGCGGGAAGTCACCGCGCAGCTCGCGGAGCGAAGAAACCCAGGATACCCTGACGAAAAGCATACAGTATGGTTTCTTGATGCGCGCCCACTGTACATCGCCGATAGATCCGCGGTAGGCCCCCGATGGCGAATCCGCATGTTCCTGGGCGGGGTGGGGCTATCGGGCCCCTATCGGCGATCGATGGGCAATTGGGGGTCAACGCACCACCCCTTTAGCAAATGACCCCCCTAACGTTGCCCCTGACTGATGGGGAGCCGGGAGGACCTGGCAGCGCAGTCGGGGAGACGTAAAGGTAGGGTTGGGGCAACGGTGGAGCTGGGAGGAAAATCGCTTTGAACGGCTCCTGGAAGGAGGACATGTGAGCATCCAGCTGGTAGGGAGCCCACAAAGGACGTCCGCGCCCAATCACGCACATGAATAGGGCCCCCAGTCCACGAGACAAGTCCCGTGATACGAAAGTTCGCGCAATGCGCACTGTCAAAGCCAACGTGGAGTCATGTCCGTGTACGTCTTTCTTTCGCTCCTGAGCTGGGCTCGTTCCCTGGCCCCACCTTGGGACATCCCCCCCTCCACGACCCCCCCGACGCTGGAGTTAGGTCGGGCCTGTCCCCCCACAGGGGGATTTTGGGCGATATATAGTAAAAATACTCCGAAAATATTGAAAAAATAGTTTGAAAACTCATTCCGGGACTTTTTTTTACTATTCTTGAATATCCCCCCTGTAGAGGAACAGGCCCGACTTAACCCTGGCCCCACCTTGGGACATCCCCCCCTCCACGACCCCCCCCCCCGACGCTGGAGACCGCCGGCGGGGCCCGCCCCGGAGCCGGCCGTCCAAGGCCCGCGCTTCCTGTCGGTCGCCTCGCGCGCGGGCGCTCGCGGCACGCGAGAGCGACCCGGGCAGAATCGGGCGGGTGGCATTTGGGGGGGAGGAGGGGGAAGGGGGAGGAGGAGGAGGAGGAGGAGGAGGAGGAGGAGGAGGAGGAGGAGGAGGAGGAGGAGGAGGAGCCCGGCAACGGCTAGAAAGGTGCCACCACATTAAACATGCATCAAACAAACTCCAAACGAGTTAGGGAGGGTCCAAGTTCTCCTCGGGCGGCACAACCTGCCGTCGGCGCTCTTGCGCTCGAGCGCCGAGCGATTCAGCCTCTTCCCGAGAGCTGAACCCGTAAAGTGAAAGGCCTCGCTGAAGGTCGACCCCAGTCCCAGCCCAAACCCTCCCAATCCCGCCCGACGAAGAAGCCAGAGAGCCTCTGGACCGAGGTGGCGCGAGCAACGGGAGGTCGTCCAGACCCATCTTGGCGGCGAGGTAGTCTCGAGCTGGGTCCGATAACACGGTCGCTCGCGAGACCCGAAAATCTTTCTTCGAAGGATGGCGGCCCTGCAAAATCCAAGCCAACTGCCTCTCACGACCCTGGGAACGATGGCCCAGACAATCCGACGCGAGAGCAGTCTTGCCACCGTGCCCTCCGACGGTGCAGACTGAACCGCAACGGGTGCAGAAGGCCAGGGAGCCAGCGGCCGCCCCAGCGGGGTCAGTGACCCCACACTCTATGATGTCGTGGGCGCGGGCCGGCCAGACATGGAGGTCGGGCCACTCGGCCCTGCCCTCCTCACCGTCGTCGCCCACCCCTCCCGACTCCCGACCCGTCCCGCCACTCCCAATAGGAGGCCGCCGTACGGAGCCACAATCAAAACGGCCAGGAGGAGAAGGCTCGGAAGGAGGAGGAGGATCATCAGGGAGAGGAGGGACCTCAAGGGTGATGTGCCTCAGCCAATCGATGCCGACATGGTCGAACTGCCCACTGTCCCCGATCCGAGCTTCTTGCTCAGCTGAGAACTTGCACAACAGCCGGGACAACTCAAAGCAACCATCGACGACGGCACGATCAGCGGCAGAGATTCGACCCAATGAGGCGCCTCGCTTGGCATATTCATCGGCAGCCTTATTGCCGAGATACTCGAGACGGCTGAGCTTACCGTTCTCGACATCACGAAGGGTGCAATGGGCAGGAACTTTACGCCACCGCACTCCGTCGAGCTTATCAAACACATGCTGCCACATATGCGCCCGAACATTATCGGGACAAACAGCTCCCGCGGGGTCCGAAACATACCCGAGAGTTCCGGCACAGTCCCCATACAAGTTGGCCCCAGGGAACACAGTAGCATGGCGAACGAGAGAGACCACTGCATAGTCCTCACCGTCACGGGCGACCTGGGCTGGAGCTTCACACACGGGCACGCGCCCCCAAATCGCACGAGCAACTTTCCCCCACCCGTCCGAAACGATCACCGCCCATCCCGCCGAACGAAACCCAGGGAGGGCAGGCGCGAAACACGAGCCGTCCAAGAACACAAGAGGAGGAGGAGGAGGAGGACGAGGAGGAGGAGGTGGAGGAGGAGGAGGAGGTGGAGGAGGAGGAGGAGGTGGACGAGGTGGAGGAGGAGGTGGAGGAAGAGGGGGAGGAGGAGGAGGAGGAGGAGGAGGAGGAGGAGGAGGAGGAGGAGGAGGTGGAGGAGGACGTGGAGGAGGAGGTGGAGGAAGAGGGGGATGAGGAGGAGGACGAGGAGGAGGAGGAGGAGGAGCAGCAGGAAGAGGAGGAGGTGGAGGGGGGTGACCTGAGTGCGGGGGGGCGGGGAGAGGGGCCCAATAGGGGCCCTCTGGGGACTCTTCTGGCTCCAAGAGGGCCCCTTTGGGGCCCTCCTCTCCACCCCCCACTCAGGTCACCCCCTGGCACCACCCGCCCGTGAGGACTCGCCATCGCTGGGACGGCCCTTCCCCGTGTATTCATTCGTCCATCTCGTGTGTTCCTTGTTCGACAGCGGTGCAAGATGCTCCCGACTGGTCCTCGCCGAGGAAAAAGAAGGGCACACGTCCGAGCGATGCCAAGAGATTGCCCCCCGCCCGAGCCAGGAAGGGCCGCCCGAGCCGAGGGAGGGGCCTCCCGAGCCAGGCCCGGCACACGCCCTCCAGGACAAGGGGGCGGGGGGGCCCGGCGCGGGCCGCCCTCCCTCGGCTGCACGCAGGAGGAGGAGGAGGAGGAGGATGAGGAGGAAGAGGAAGAGGAGGAGGAGGAGGAGGAGGAGGAGGAGGAGGAGGAGGAGGAGGAGGAGGAGGAGCTGGAGGAGCTGGAGGAGGAGGAGGAGGAGGAGGAGGAGGAGGAGGAGGAGCGGGCCGCCCGCCCTCAGCTGCACGCAAGAGGCGGCCCCTGGGCGGGCCCCAAGAGTATATATACACCACCACGTCGATTCCTCCTCCCTCCTCCACCCTCATCTTCCTCGCCTCTGTCCTGGGAGAGGGAGGGGCTGAGGGAGGTGGTGGTGATGTGCATACTGTTGGGCCCCACACTCTGGGCGTGATCGGCCTCCCGTGCGCGCGACTTGCGGAGGGGGCGCCGGGGTGCCAAGCCCGCGCGCGGAAGCCGCTGCTGTCGCATCGCACTCGGCAGTGCCCGCACCAGAGGTCACCTCGGGCGAAAGGCCACTCTTACGCGTAGCTGACTCGCACTCCCGCCTCGGCAGGTAAGGAAGATATACACCCAAGGGGGTATCGAGGGTTTGGGATACACGTGTTGAATGGCACGCGACTTGATAAGAGCGAACAGTCTTAAAATAGTTAGTGGCGCCACTCCTGACTGGAAGGCGATGAAGTAGCATGACTTTCGGCGAGGCGAAAGCCCCAGCCCCGCGCCGAGGCGAGAGTGCCACTCCTGAGACACAACGAGAAGCATGCAGCGGGATCGTTTTTGCTGTTGCTGGGGGGTCGTTTTCGGCGCCGAAACAAGAGCGCCACTCATGAGGAGAAGGCGAGGTACTGGGGCTGGTTTCCAGAGACCAAAGCGCCAGTCCTGAGCGGAAAGCGGAGAAGCATCGAGCGGCAGCGCTGCTGTTGGGGGGCAAGTTCGGGCGGACCTCCGAAACGCCTTACGTTCGAGCGGGAGCCTAGCTGCCAGAAAGTTGTGCCTGGCGCCAAAGCAAGATCGCGTAAACGAGATTGAGATGAGAGGGTCCACAAACTATAGTCTTTTAGCGTGCAAGGCCCGTCATCACTATCAGACATCAACATTCTCACCACCACTACCATCATCATCAACAACATCATCATCATCATCATCATCATCATCATCATCATCATCATCATCATCATCATCATCATCATCATCATAATCATCATCATCATCATCATCATCATCATCATCATCATCATCATCATCATCATCATCATAATCCTCATCATCATGACCAACATGACCATCGGGACCATCATGACCATCATCACCACCACCACCATCAACAACAACATCATCAGCATCATCAGCAGCATCATCAGCATAATCAGCATGCTTTACACGTCCCTCCGCATCCGCCTCATCATAACTATCCCTTCATCTTGCCCCACGGTCCTCCTACCTCCTGGTTCAACTGCTCACTTGGTCCAGATCACGACGCTCAAGGGAGACGCGCACTCTTGCACTCATGGGCCATCTGAGCAGCACTCGATTTCTCAACTAAGAAAGGAACTACCTCCTCCTGTTCTTGCTCCAGTACTATCCTCCCGCTTCCCCCCCCCTCCCCTCCCTCCCTCGGCGGCGAGCCCGGGGAGGAAATGAGAAGAGGCAGGCCTTCTGAAGGTGGCGGAGATTCTGAGATGCCCTCGCGACTTCTGAGAAGCCGCCCGTGGCTTCGGAGAAGACTAATAAGTCTTCTCAGAGGGCGCGAGGGCTTCTAAGAAGCCCCGCCGCCTTCTGAGAAGGCCTACACGCCCGTCGGAAGAAGTGGGTAGAAATATGAAGTAGGGAGGCGTTGGAAGTCGATTGGGCTTCCGCCCGCCTCCTGAACAGAAGAGAGAAGGAGGACGCCAGTCGATCCTGGAAGTAGGAAGGCGCCCAAAATAGACTGGGATCTGGGAATCCAAAAACGCCTACTCTCTCAACGACTGGCGGGTACCCCCTCTCTCTCAACTCCCCCCTGGGCTCGACGCCGATTCCCTCCCCATTCCCCCCCGCCTCGCCGCGGCTGGCTCCCGCGCTCGAGCTGCCGCCCCCCCCCCCCCCGCCCAGCGAGGCCTCCGACTCCTCCAGGGCCGCGTCCTGCTGCAAGAGCATCTCTGCCTCGTTGGAGGTGCGCTCCCGACGGCCTTCCCGACCTGGAGCCAGGATGAAGCAAGGCCTCTGGATCATGAGGAACACTTCGGGGATGGACAGACCTCCCTCTAGTAAAACGTGGTTTAGTGTAAAAGACCCGAGGCCCAAACCTGGCGGGCGCAAGCCTGGAAAATAACGGCCGCGGCGCCCTCTCGAGAACCGAAAACGGACCATTCACTAATCGACGTGTCACTGTTGGGAGTTCTGTCCGCCCCCAAACATCACAGAGGCCTCGCGCGGCAACACGAGGTCGAGCTCAGGTCGGACCCGCGTCAGAAGGACGTGGGCTTCACGTCGGACGTAGGTCGGAGCCTCGCCGCGCGAACGCCCCCCCACATCTGGCGGGGCGGGCGTGTGGACTGGATGCTACGAACAGAGCCACGCCGCGAGAGGGGGGCCTCCGGGACTCCCCCCTCACAGCCTGGGGCCCGCCTCGGGCCCAGGGCCGTCAGGGATCGATCCGGGAGGGAAGGCTGGCCCCCGGTGCAGCCCGAAGTTGCTGGCAGGGGTGCGCGATGAGGGTGCAGGCCCTCCGGACGCCCATGTCGAAGCTTTTCGGCCCGGGAAGGAGAGGCCTCCTAGATGGGGTCGGAGTAGATGGGGTCGAAGGATCGCGCCGCATCGCCGATACATCGGCGATGCATCGCGGATGCATCGGCGATGCATCTGCAGTGCACTGGCGACGTTGGCGACGCATCGGCGACGTCGGCGTGGAGAAAATTGTGCCCCACATCGAGACGCATCGCCGATGCATCGCGGATGCATCGGCGATGCGGCACGATCCTCCAACCCCATCTGCTCCGACCCCATCTAGGAGGCCCAGAGGAATGTCCATCGAAAGTGTTTTTAAGGATGGGCCGAAGAGGCAAGGATGCAATGGTACCCTTGGGAAGGGTACCCAGCCTCATCATCGGCGTCGACTGCATGGGGCCGAGAGGTGCTGGACGCCTGCATACTGGCACCAGCACCGACACAGGGAGGTGTCTCCGCCGGGGTAACTGGTGGTAGCACCCTAAGGAGCCCGAGTACGACCACCACCACCGAGATAGGGATCATGTTCCCTCGGCGGAGGCAACCCGCCAAAAAAGGTGTTGGTGCCGGCCTGTAGGTTTCCGAAAGTGCAGGAGGGGGACACGACACACAGACAAATCGCGACGTCGGATGCCTGCGGAGGCGAAGACTGACATGGGGGAAACAGGGTCCTGGACCCTGTGGCCTTCCCTCAGGACGAGCTCTTCATCCCAAATCGTTTTCTGACAGTCCTGGGGCCGTGGAAGGCCCCGAAGACCGAAAACGGAGGAAAACCTCGGGACCCGTTTCCTTCAGGACCCGCTTCCCCCGCAGCGAGAAGATCACGCGAGCATAAACTGCCTGACGTCCGCGGATGGCTCTTCCGCCAGCGCCAGACCCCCCCCACACGCCCCCGCGGCGCGCCTTACGCACCGGGGAGGCGTGTGGGGAGGAGGTCACTGCCGACAGAGGACGCCGCCCGTGGAGGTCCGGAAAGAAACGCTCGCAAGTGGCACAGACGGTGCGCAATCTTGCTGCAAGATATCTTGGGGCACACTATCCGGTTATCCATGAAGGCCCTAACGGGCCCCAGAGCTTCCGTGGGTCCCTGATAATCCTTTGGTGGTAATGATGTCAGCGGGGCACCTGCTTGCGGGCCGAATCCTGAGTCGATGCGCCGACAGCATCCGCAAGCGTGCCGCGGGGCAGTGCGTGGAGTGCGAGCAGGGAAAGTTCGAATTCACACTGTTGGATAATATAATCACCTTGCACGGGGTCACACACACAGTTCTCGACAATCTTGGGTGCGGCCACGCGTTCCCGAGGGCGTGTTGCGTGACTTCAGGAGACCTCGGGAGCGTGGCTGGGGGTGTGAATTTCTCAGGTGCTGTGAGATCACCCCAGAAAACCGTTATTACGCACGTTCGCGCCCTTGGCCCCTAAAACCGAAGTGACGGACTGCGCGCGAGAAGGCGCGAATCTGGATTCGCCGATCTCTCGCCATCAGACAGCCGAAGTAATCCCAGCGCAAAAGCAAAGCTGGATACTTCATCGTAATGGGCTGCAGGCCAGACATGTTCACGAGTACAGCGTGCTGCGCGACGGTTTCTGCCGCATCTGGTCCAACACATGTTGGCTGATAAGACGCCCCCTCCCGAACTGTTGAAAGTGTGTGTAATCCGCTTTCGTTTGCTCCAGCTCAAGGAAAAGTCGATTTTGCCCTGGGACAGAATAATGCATATTGTGGTCGCTGAATGTGCGTGCGTGGTTCGGTGTGTGTGTGTGTGGGGGGTGCGTGTGTGCGGGTGTGTGTGGTGCGTGGGAGGGATCAGTTTTTGCTTGACAGAATGATTAATGGCCTGAATCGGTATTGCGTAATCCTCTTCGGGGCATTCCAACCTGCCGACGAATAGGTTCGGCACGTGAGTCACCCAAGTACTGAGATGAGAACTGAGCCCTGTGAGCTACAGCCGTGCTGAAACTAGCGGCGCCGCTTCCACCTGCCAATAAGGATGACACAATGTAATCAAGGTCGGCATGACGCTTCGTGTCAAATATCTGCGATCGTTAATTTGTGTGGCTCTCGCTGGTGTAGCGGAACGACGAGATGAACCGCTGCACAGGATCACCTACCCTAGAAATGACAAGGCGGAGTCGGCGGATCCGCTCTGTGCACTTGAATCACTTGAAGCTGCATGCACGCCTCGCTCGCTTGTCTTTATCTAGAGTTGATCCCTCATAGAATATCTTGAATTTGCCCGTCCATACACTTCGATCAGCCCATCGCTAATCGCACCGCCGCCGCATTTGCCGACATGAGCAAAGCGCACCCGCCGGAGCACGTGACCACGCAGCACCGCCTCCGTCCTCTGCCGCCGGTCGCCCCGAAACCTGGCGCCGCCTGCGGCTCCTCCGCCGCAGGGGTCCTCCGGAGCCTCATCTTGGCGGCGCGCACAACGGGGTGGAGGGAGGGGGGAAGGCTTCGTCAGAAGGAGGCTGCTTCTTAGAAGGCGCCGGCCTTACATCTATAGATAAGGCCCGCGCCTTCTGAGAAGCAAGGGTGCTTCTAAGAAGCCCTCCCCCTCCCCCCACCCCCCTCTGCGCGTGGCTGATCATAGGCCCCTACAACGGTTCATTTCCACAGAGGGAACTGCCTCGTTGGAAAACTTGAGGCCCTGAAACATGCCACAACATGTTTCTCGGGATTCCGCCGCCACGGATCAAGCTGACCGTCGCGTCTTGACGACCCTGAATCGTGCCAGAATGTCATTCCGGGGACATCAACACCGCGAATCAATGAAGCTGTTGCGCCCTCATTATCCTGAATCATTCCAAAACACAATTTCTGGTACGTTGGTCATGGGATTCCGTGAAACGGTTGCAAACGTTATAAGCGAATGTGCGCGGCGCCAAAACGAGAGCCACGTTTTGAAAACCATCCGCCCTCGATCCGTGAAATCCCTACCTTTTTGTGTATATATATATGTACATACACATACCCCCCAAAAACAAAAACAAAAACACAAAAAACGAATGCGCGCGGCGATAAGGCGAGAGCCAAAGTCTGATAACCATCCGCCCACGATCCGTGAAACTCTTGCAAATATCTAAAACGAATGTGCGCGGCGCTTCGGCGAGAGCCACAGTTTGAAAACCACCCGCCCTTCATATGTGAAACTGCTGCCAAGCCTTAAACTTCGGAATCATACCTGGTGACGAAATCTCCGGCGAAACGCCCAGTCCGCCTCGGGGTGCGACAGGGAGAAATTCCATAGAAGGACAAGGAATGGAGGAGGAGAAGGGGGGAGGAAGGAGGAAAGGGATGGAGGCCACAGTGCTCTGTCCCAGACGAGAACCCAGCACAGGAAAGTTGGGAAACAATTCCCAAGAATCACGCGGGCAAGCAAGCTGCACGGGTGGGAAGTCGGCTCCTGTTCAAAATGTGAATCTCGCCACAGCGGCGCGCGCGCGTTCGTGCCAGGAGCTCCGAACAAACAGCTCCTCGGATGGAGGGCGATTCCTTTTCTCAAGAAACATTCGCTTGGAGTTTCTTCAATCCTGATCAAAATGTGGATCTCGCCATCGCGGCGCGCGCGTTCGTCCCAGGAGCTCCGAACAAACAGCTCCTCGGACGGAGGGTGGCTTCTTTTCTCAAGAGACGCTCGCTTGGGATGTGCTTCGATCCGTACTTTCAATCCGTACTATCGAACAGCTCCTCGGATGGAGGGCGATGCTTTTTTTCTCAAGAAGCGTTCGCTCGGGATGTGTCGCAACCCGTACTACCAATCCGCACGATCCATCCGTACTATCGAACAGCTCCTCGGACGTAGGGCGATGCTTTTTTTCTCAAGAAGCGTTCGCTCGGGATGTGTCGCAACCCGTACTACCAATCCGCACGATCCATCCGTACTATCGAACAGCTCCTCGGATGGAGGGCGATGCTTCTTTTCTCAAGAAGCGTTCGCTCGGGGCGCGCCTTCCGTCCGTGCTGGTGCGAGCACCCGGAGCTGACGCGGCCGCTCGATGGGGGGAGCGCGGCTCCTTTTGTCTGAGAGCGGAGCCCTGGCCTGAGCTGCTCCTCCTGCTCCTCCTCCTCCTCCTCCTCCTCCTACTCCTCATCCTCCTCCTCCTGCTCCTCCTGCTCCTCCTGCTCATCCTCCTCCTCCTCCTCCTCATCCTCCTACTCCCCCTCCTCCTCCTGCTCCTCCTGCTCCTCCTGCTCCTCCTGCTCCTGCTCCTCCTCCTGCTCCTCCTGCTCCTCCTCCTCCTCCTCCTCCTTCTCCTCCTACTCCTCCTCCTCCTCCTCCTCGACCGGCTAGAAGCCTTAAGACGATCCAAGAACTGCCGAACGTTCGGAACGTTCGGTACGTTCTGACCCAGCTGACGCGCGACATCAATGCAACGTGCGCGGGCGAATTGAAGGCGACTGGGTCTCAGAGCGGGGCTCTCACTGGACACCGCCCGAAAGTCTGTGTGATAGTGCCCCTGTCGCCGTCATTGCAGCTGGGAGCATGGACGGCAGCTCCTCGTCAAAAAGGGGCTCTGGCCTGAATTGCAAGACCACGGTGCATTCGGTTTCCAATGAGGCACTTGCCACAGTGAAAGGAAACTCCTGTAGGTAATCATGAGGAGGAAGCTCGGAAGTTTTCGTATCGCAGCATCGTTGATGCGTTTTGAGCTTACTGTTGGTCCTCTTTATCCTCCTCCTCCTCCTCCTCCTCCTCCGCCTCCTCCTCCTCCTCCACCTCCTCCTCCTCCTCCTCCTCCTCCTCCTCTTCCGCATCGTCCTCCTCCTCCTCCCCTTCAGCCCCCAAATGTTCTCTCCGAGGGTTTCCACCATGGCTGGGGGAGCGTGTAGTCCAATTGCTTGGCCAGGCTTTGCCCCGACGTTTGGCCACGTAGGCACTTCCAGAAAGAAAAGGGGGTCGGTGACTCGCCGTAGGCGCCTTCGATGTTTGTTCTACCCTCCAACGACCTTCACGACGGTGATGAGCCTTCACGTGGATCGACTGGTTCGAGATCGCTTCCCCTTCGGAGTGAGCCTCGGCGTTCACCTGGGCTGCAGCGCGGACGAGAGTGACCGTGCCCGACAGAGGCGGCCAAAGGATGAAGGGCACAGTGGGAGAGGCAGGCAGGGGACGGGAAGAGAGTGGGAGGGAAAGGGGAGAATTCGCAGAGAAAAGGGGGAGGGGGAGTGGGGGGGAGAGCGATGGGGAAAGGAGAAGGAGAAGGGGGGAGAAGGGCAGGAGACGAGAGCGATGGAAGAAGGGGAGGAGAGCGACGAGGCAGGGGAAGAGGGGAGGAGGTGGAGAGAGGAAGAGAGGAGGAGGGCAAGACGGGGACAGGTGGGAGAGAAAGAGGGAGAGAGGAAAAGGGGGGATGAGGGAAAGAGGAGGAGGGAACGAGGGGAAGAGGGGAAGAGGGAAGGAGGGGAAGAGGGGAGGAGGCGAAGGGGAAGAGGGGAGGATGGGAAGTGGAGGCCTTGAGATCTCTGGCCAGAGGTCCTCCGGGGCGTGGCCGAGGATAGCAGGCCTCCAGAGAGAGCGGGGCACGAGCATCGGTGCCATCAGGCTGGTGGCCGGCTGGGCCCCCGGCAGGCGGAGGAGGAGGAGGCTGAGACGACGGAGGAGGAGGAGGAGGAGGAGGAAAAGAAGAAGACGGAGGAGGAGGAGGAAGAGGAAGAGGAAGAGGAGGAGGGCCGGGGTGAGGAGGAGGAGACGACGGAGGAGGAGACAACGGAGGAGGAGACGACGGAGGAGGAGACGACGGAGGAGGAGGAGACGACGGAGGGGAGGAGAAGACGGAGGAGGGAGGAGGAGGAGGAGGAGGAGGAGGAGGAGGAGGAGAGGAGGAGGAGGAGGAGGAGGAGTAGGATGAGGAGGGAGGAGGAGGGAGAAGGAGGAGGGGAGGGGGGGGAGGAGGAGGAGAAGACGACGGAGGAGGAGGAGGAGGAGGAGGAGGAGGAGGAGGGCCGAGGTGAGGAGGAGGAAGAGGAGGCGGAGGAGGAGGATGAGATGGGAGAAGGAGAAGCGAACGCAACAGCCTCGTGGCTCATACTTGGCCGGCGTAAAACAACAACAAAAAAGAGACCTACATCACCCCTTCTCCACGGGAGGTTCAAGATTTGCAATGAACGCTCCATACAAAAGAACACATCGCTAGATATGCACGATCTGCGCTGCCCTTATCTCCACTGTGCCTCCCACGAGCCTATGAAAGTGGCGACAAGTGCGCACTTCTCAGCCACCCAGAGAGCAGCGAGGTCCAAAGCGGATCCGCGTGGCCCCCGACTCGGCTGGACCTCCCAGGAGACAACGAAAGTGGCGACAATTGCGCAGGTCGCAGCCACCCAGGGAGCAGCGAGGTATGGGTGCGCGTGGCACCCGACTCCGCTGGACCTCCCAGGAGCACAAAACAGCGGGGACAATTGCGAAGTTCACAGCCACCCAGGGAGCAGCGAGGTCCCGTCTGGGTGCGCGTGGCACCCGACTCCGCTGGACATCTCAGGAGCACACGACAGTGGGGACAATTGCGCAGTTCGCAGCCACCCAGGGAGCGTCAAGGTCTCAAATCGGTGCGCGTGGCACCCGACTCCGCTGGACCTCCCAGGAGCCCACGAACGTGGCAACAGTTGCGCAATTCGCAGCCACCCATGGAGCTGCGAGGTCTCAGCTGGGTGCGCGCACTCCCCGACTCCGCCGTGCCTCCCAGGAGCCTACGAAAGCGGCGACAGTTGCGCAGTCCGCATCAACCCAAGGAGCTGCGAGGCCTCGGCTGGGTGCGCGTAATCCACGACTCCGCCGATCACCGTCGTGCCTACCAGGAGCCCACGAAAGTGGCGACAGCTGCGCAGTTCGCAGGCCACCAAGGAGCTGCGAAGTCCCGCCTGGGTGCGCGTACTCCGCGACTCCGCCGTGCCTCCCAGGAGCCCACGAAAGTGGCGACGGTTGCGCAGTTCGCAGCCTCCCAGGGAGCAGCGCAGGAGGAGGCAGGAAGGACGCAGGAAGGAGGAGACGGAGGAGGCGGGCGGGAGAAGGTGTGCGACCTCAGTGCTCTATCCAAAACGAGAACCCAACAGAGGAGGGTTGGGAATCAAGCAGGAGACAGGCGGCAGAAGGAGGGAGGCGGGGAGGAGAAGGGAGGCGGGAGGAGAAGGGAGGCGGGAGGAGAAGAAGGTCGCGCCAGCAGTGCTGAAACGAGAACCCAACACAGTTTTTGGTCGGCGGGGCGAGAGCGAACCTCTTCCGCTGAAAGCTAGGCGGGCTACGCACAGCTCTAATTAGGGAGACAGGGCACAGGCGGGCGGGGAGAACCCAACACCCAACAGAGGAGGGTTGAGAAAAAAAATCGGGCGAGGGGGGGGGGGCCAGAGAGAGCCCAGACCTCCGACGCCGTGCGTTCTTTTATGCTCGGACGCCAGACACCCCCTCGCCTGGGCCCAGGTCGTGTTTTTTGAGGGCCCCAGAGGGGCCCGGAAGAGCGGCCCCGGGAGGGCCGAGAGTGGCATGCTGCCTCGAAGCGCTGATCGGATGCTGGTGGAGGTGCCCCCGGCCCACGGTGCCCCCAGCTCTTCGCTCCGTTTCGGAGCCACCGGGGGGGCCCTGCGGGCCTCGCGAGGGATCTGGAGGCCGTGGGGGCCTCCCTGGCAGTCCGGGGGGGCACCTCGGGCGAGAGGCGCTTCTGGCAGCATCCGAGAGAGCGAAGGCGCGGGCCAAAAATCTGCCCAGAAGGTCGAAGCAGCCCCAGCCGTCCGCGTTCTGGCCAGAAGGTCGAAGCAGCCCCAGCCGTCCGCGGCCACGAGGGCCTCCGCGGAGGCCCTGAAAAGGCCCAAGAACACTCGGACCCTCAAGCCTCCAACCTGGTTCTCCGAATATCCATCCTCAAACATAGATCCTCGATCCTCGAGCAGCGACCCTCGAGAGGAGGAAAAACATACTGTGTTCCAGTGGACTGTTGGTTCATGCCGCGGGGCCGTGGCCCCGGCAATCCGTCCAGAGAGTGAATCGAGCAACGACGGAGAGTTTTGCGAGACCCACTCCGGGCGCTCGGGCACGAGCTTGTCGCAGCAGCGGGAACGCAGTGTCGAGTACAGTCGAAGCGTTGACCTGAGGAACCCTAAATAAGGAACGAGGCCCCTATTTTCCATAAGTTGAACTTCGATTTCGTATCGAAAACCTAAGGAAAATCCAGGGCAAACTGCGAAACAATTCAGGAACACGGAGCCCCTCCCCAACGAAAAGGGTTCCTTCTTCAGGGCCCCGACTGTACGGCGAGTTCGTGTCGTCACGACCCAGGAGACATCGGCCGACTCGAGGCCCCTAGCGGCGTTCAACCTTTGAACGCCCGCGCCGGGGTCGCCGCCGTATCGACACAACGCGAGCCTACCGTACATTGCGATCTCCATCGTCACGCCGTTGCTCATCCGAGGAGGGGGCCCAGACACACGACGTCGCCGAAAATTGCCCCAGAACCTCGCGTCGTGCTTTCTTTCCCTGCGCGAAGGGGGTATCGGCCCACGGGCAGACGTCGATCCCCGGACCCGTCCCGGGGTGCGCTCTAACTAGAACTTCGAGGGCAGCCCAGGCGTGGCTCCCAGAGGCAAGAACAACAGCAACAAAAGCGTACACAGGCCAGGGACCTCGAAGTCGACAATGACGACCACCACCACAACCACCACGTCGAGGTCGACGTCGACGCCGACGCCGACGTCGATGTCGACGACACCGACAACGACGACGACGACGACGACGACGACGACGACGCCGACGACGACGGCGACGACGACGCCGCCGCCGCCGCCGCCGCCGACGACGACGACGACGACCTGCAGCAGCGCGCTGTCGAGGACGAAGCTCTCGCTGCCCGGGGCGAAGGCCTCCGACGGCCTCGGCGGCGGAGTCCCCCCACCCCACGCCGGGGCTGCACCGCTCTCCTCCCCCTCACCCTCACACTCCTCCCACTCCGTTCCCTCTCCCTGTCGCACCCTGAGGCCAGTTTTTAGAGCGGGCTGGGCGTTCCACCCGAGACCTCCTCACCATTTCTGACCCTGAAGTTTTTAGAAATCGACCACAGTTTCGCGGATGGTGGGCGGGTGGCTTCAAAAATGTAGCTCTCGCCTTGCGCATTCGTGCTGAAACCCTGCAAGATTCTCACGGATCCCCATGATCATCGTACCAGGAATGCTGTGTTGGAAGCTGTGTTGGAAGGATTCAGGATTATGAGGGTGCAACAATTCATTGATTCACATTATTAACATCCGAATAATGGCGTTCTGCGCGATTCAAGATCGTCAAGACGCAACAGTCAGATTGATCCGCGGCGTTGGTATCCCGAGAACAATGTTTCGGCATGCTCCCCTGTATTCAAGCGGCTGTCCTCCAACGAGGCAGTTCCCTCAGTGGAAATGAACCCTTGTAGGGGCATCTGGAAAGGGAGTTCGGAGGGAAGTTTTATCCCAACATCGTTGATGGCCCTTGGGTTTACACTGGTCCTCTGTCTCCTCCTCCTCCTCCTCCTCCTCCTCCTCCTCCTCCTCCTCCTCCTCCTCCTCCTCCTCCTCCTCCTCCCCTCCTTTTCCTCCTCCTCCTCTCCTCCTGCCTCCTCCTCCTCATCTTCCTCCTCCTCCTCCTCCTCCTCTCCTCCTCCTCCTCCCCCTCCCCCTCCTCCCACCAGTGCCCCAACCACTCCCCCCTCCTCCTCCTCCTCCTCCTCTTCTTCCTCCTCCTCCTGATGCCCCATCCTCCTCCTACTATTCCTCCTCTTCTTCCGGGTGCATCACAGCGCTCGTCTGACCGCTCAACATCTAGGTTTCAGGTTAACATTATGTAATGATAGCCGCCGAGACCTTGCTTCCTCCCTCTGGGAGGAAACCTGCTCTGAGTCTCTTCAGGGCATTTACCCCATGCCCCCAGGCTCTCTGCAAGGGGAGGAAAGAGAATTCAATTACTTCGAGGAAAAGGCCCCGCATCTCAAACAAGCCACAGCGGGGTTCCTCGGGTGCCACAAACGTGGCTCAGTGTCTAAGGCCACCAACTTCTGCGGCACCTCACCACGCGCCTCAAGAACCCTGGAGGCCTCGATTGCACGCGATAAAAATGTAACCTGCACACTCGCATTGCGCAGGCTCGCTCACACGGCAAAGGCGGCACCAGCGGCTTCCGTCGGGGCCGTACCAATCATGCTCGCTAGTCGCTCGCGCGGGTCGAATCGGGCCAGACACTCGCGGACGAATCTGTCTCGCAGAGTGCCGCGTAGCAACACAATCGACACAGCCCATCGTGGCCCCGACAGTGCCGACCCAATGCGCGACACGCTCAAGCAGCGCATGAAACTTCATCCGGAGCGTCCTAACCTCACTCGTGACTCTGACACGGGCGGCAGCGCGCTTGGCCCAGACGTCGGCCTGGTCATTGCCAAATCTGTCACGCCTGGACACGCGCCCAAAAGTCACGGCCTAGGCGGACAAATGCGCTTTAATATTTCGCACCACCAGGCCGCTCTCGCCGAGACCTCTGACGTCATCTAGAAGAGCCCAGAAGCTACACCAGAGGTGGGCCCACGCACTGCAAAACGCAGTCGTTCGCGCAGGGCCCCTAATTCATACACGAAATTACGGTCGGTGATGGCCCCGATGGGAAACACAGCTACCTTCAGAAGCTGCACCAATGCGGTAAGCTCCGGTCCCCCGATGTCCCTGACAGGCCCAGCACACACACCATGCACAACGTCCTGGACCCCAAGCGGATCCGACGTGAGCGTAACGATCGCCCAACCCGCAACCGACCCCTTCCGCCCACTCCCCCATCAAAGAAAGATCCATCAAGGTAGGCTTGCGGGACATGGATCATGCCAAGGCCCGAAAAGCGATGCCACGCAATCTGCAGATCGGAAGGCGGCCTCCACCGTTCAGGCAACTTGGCACGAGCCCAACGACATCTGTCTAGCAGGGTTTTGACTGCGGGCTCGCCAGCCCTGTCCGTCAAAACCCGAAACTCAACAGGCACAGGCGGGCGCTCCGCCGCTGCGCAGAAACAGTGTCAGCGAAGCAAAGTGCCAACCGACCCACACAACAAATATGCACTGTCAGCGGCAAGTCCCGCTTCGAACTTCCTCGCCATCGATCACTGTCCGTTGACGATGACTGAACGGAGGTATCCTCTCTGCGTGCTGGTTAGCTGCTGCAGTTCCTTGCACTCATTAATACGACATCTACCCAGGTTCGTCAGAGCCAAAAGCGGCTCCCAAATGGCGCCGCCAGACAAATGTCCCAAAGACCCATCCAGAGAAACGTAAATCTACTGCCCGGCCTTAACGCCTCTGTCTAAAACATGATCATACCACGGACAGACATCCCTCACATCAATCACGTCACCCTCATGCGTGGCCCATCGGAACGGCTCCAAGATAGTCCAGTCCGCTCGCCCCAAAGAGAGCCCCACAGCCCCGCAAGGCCCTTGAACTTGGGTCCCCTGATTGATCCCGAGACAACCCGACATCGAGACTTCCAGGATCCAGGATGGCACCCAAGATCCCCACAAGGCCCCCGCAAACGTCGGATCAATCTTGCCGTGACACATGAGCGTGAGAGTACCACTCTTGCCTGCAGTCCTCGGCTCGACCGCCGCAAATTCCAGGGCGCGCGCAGACTCAAGTTCCCCAAACTTGCAGCCAGTCGCAGCCATGCCATAAGAATAACTAGCCTCGATACCTGCACGCGCGATCCGAGCCGCCACACATCTCGTTTGTATCTCTCCTCAGCCCCCGCCCAAAACTTGTTTCATATATTTCACTCTACGTTTGGCTTGCCTAAGCTTGCCATCCCTGACCTCCCTGACAATACAACGACCAGCAGTACCGTCAACTCCGAGGTTACGCTCATGCCTGACCGCCTGCGCGCCAGTCCGTTTCACCAGCTGCGTCGCAATGGCATGCCTCGCCTCCCGATCGTTCGACAACA